TAAAACACTTTCTAAATTAAAATTTTTTAGAACTTTTAATTTGTCTTCACCCATAAGACTGGTATAACTCCAATTCTTTGAATCTGGGTTTTGCCAAAATTGGAAATGTACACCAATTCTAAGCATTTCTTTCTTTATTTGTTCCCTTGTTTCTTCAGAACTTTGGTAATTTGTTTCAGGTAACATTAGAACCCAAAGACGGTCAGTAATACGAAGCATCAAATGTAATTCATCTGGAATCCAATGAGTTAATGGAATCATAGGGAACAAGGGTTGAAGCTTATGTCCTGGATATGCCTGATAATTGACTTTTATGATTTCCATTTTTTTTGAAATTTTCCATTCTTTCTCTAATTTACTATGATCAAATTTTGAACACAGACACCATGGACAAAAATGATTTGCAGTTGCATTGTTTATTCCTAAACAAATTGATAAAAATTTCCAATCACTGCTAAAGTATATAGTTATTCTCCATTTTTGCCCAATTGAATCAATAAATCCATTCTTGTCAATATCATCAAGCTCTTCTATAAGTTGGTGTAAAGCTTTTTGCAAATATTCATATTTTTCAATACCAGAATATAGTACTAAGCTATAATGATGATCTGGTAGAAAAATAGCATTTTTATTATTCATAATTGCAAATGTAATCATGACATGCTTGATTTTTTTACCAACATTTCTTCCATCTCCAGATATTCTAATATGAACATTATCATCCAAAGTATAACCAAGTACTTTTTGATTAATTAGCATTTTAATTACAAATGTTAAAATTTTCTTTATACTGCAATATCCGCCTTCACCTTGAGCATTTATAATTTCATTTTCAAGTTCAACATCTAAATTATCATGTTCTTCTATTTCATCCTCTTCATTTTCATTTTCACCTTCATCAACATCTTGTGAATAAATATTAATTGGATTTATGGGAATTTCAGCATTCATCAGGTTTGTAATTTCTTTTTTTACATTTGATGTTATATTTTCTCGTGGTAAATTAGGTTCAAGTTTTGCTAGACTACGATATCCACTTTTGTGATATATTGTGTTGATCAAGTTGTTGAACCACTGCTTCAGCATATAATTTCTTTCCATCATCATCTTCTTTAAAGCAAAGATAATATAATTGATCATTAATTTTTAATGTAATTCCAATAAGTTCACTTGAATTGGAATTTAAAATACTATCTGATGATTCATTAAAATCATCTAATATATTTTTTCCAGACTTTTAAACGACTTCTATGTGTAGAATCTTTTACTTCTTCAAAGGGAATAATTGTATTGCGTTTTTGTTTATTAATGCGTCGATTATGTACACATTGAAGCTGAAACCCAAATAACAAAACTCCAGACATTCTAGTAGTTTTTTTATCAATTTCCTATTGTAATAAATAATATGTTAAATCACTTTTAAAATTACATATTTATAAACAAAAGGAATGGGAATTTTATTGAAATACCTTCAAATATTTTTGAGTGGCATCTGTTGCTGATTTTTCTGATGTTACTTGGTGATTTTCATTTTCACTATCATTCCAATTCAAACAATATACAGGCCTATTGTCATGGTATTTAGTAGAACATCCGAGTATATGCTTCTTTTTTCCAAATTCAGTTTCGACTAAGTACTCATCAGGTATAGGATACTTACATCCATTAGAATTGGCCTGAGTATATTTTGGAACATCAGGATAAATACCTTCATTAATAATATTATAAACGAATGAATTATTAGGGGTTTTATATGTTATTTTTTTATTTGAAGGATAATTATGTGTTTCAAAATCAGAGCTTGATGCATTTGAAGATGAAGAAGTCATTTTTTTTAAAAATACTTTTTTGCAAATTTTATTATTGCATTGGTTTATTATATAGCAAATACTCATTATGATTATTTATTTATAATTTCCTTACATCTACTAATTAAAAAAAGAATTGATTTATCTTTCAAGTGTTAATTAAAAAACCTGTAAAGATTTCTTGATAATAATTTTTGCAAAAAGGATAATTTGTGATTAATTATTTTCTTATTTTTGTCAAAATTAAAGAAAAAATTTTTTAACTGTTGTCAAAGAAAAGAAATCAACTAAGTCTTTTTGGAAATGAATTAAAAAAACAGGAATCTTGATTTTATTTTTCAATGTTAAAAGATAAAATCTTAATTGTTGTCAAAAAAATTTGAAAATGAATTAAAGTAATCTGACTAAGTCTTTAAATCTCAATTTATCTTTTCAAAAGACTAAGTCTTTTTTTGAATTAATAAAAGAAAACAGGAATCTGATATTTATCTTCTTGATGTTGAGAAAGATTCCTTGTAATGAATAATGTGATGAACAATTTTTGTTATATTTATTATTATTAATTTATTCGAGATAATCAATTTATTATTTTTATTATATATATATAACAATAAGATTATTATATTTTTATTATATAAGCAATAAAAATTAACTTGTATTAATTAAAGTACCTGTTCGGGAAAACATCTGATAATATATAAAACTTGAAAAGTAATTCTTGCATTAATTTAATTAATAAAAGTTCATTATAGAATAAAATAGGTTAGAGTCTTAATTAAAATTTATAGGATCTTTTCCCAAAATGTAAAAAGATATTTTTAATAATTTTTATCATTCACTTCTCTTGCCTACTGTGAACTTTTGCGTTAATTATTAATAATAATTTTACATTTGGTGACGATCGACAGGAAACCTAAATTTTTGTTGTTTCAAAATTTTGTACCCCATTAGGTTGCGCAAATCGGTGGATATGTTTTTCAAAATAATTTTTATGCCCATCACTATTTGAAGGTGTGACAGCATCACGGGGATGTCCAGAACGAGGGGCATCTTCAATGCTTAATTGTCCAGCTTCAAATTCCTCAATCCAGCAGTAAATTGTACGTTTGGATAGTGCCTTGTCCCCTTCAGCAGTGACCAACTCCCTATGGATATCAGTAGCATCTTTACCATTCTTCCAGCATACCCAGATGTAGTATCATTGGTTTTCACATGTAGTATTTTCCATTATTGTTAATAGGCAATATTGAAAAAATTATTTCTTCACAATTGTCAAATCAAGTTGTGCCAAATTTTCTATTACTTATTGGATGTTACCCAAGCTATGATTATTCTCAAAATGGGAAACATTTGAGGATCATCAAGATAATTGCACAGTGTCAAAACTTTTTGAACCCCCCACATAATATTGATAATAACATTCATAATAACATATAACAACTGAATAATTACTCCACTCCCATTGTTAATTAAATAAACACATTTTACCTTATTATGAATTTTTGCATAGTTAAGAGGAAAAACCATTGTGAATTGCTTCATTATCCTCTCTGATGGTTAGTGACAAACAAGATCAGAAAAGGAAAAAACAAGAAAATGCTTATGGTGCAAAGAAAGGGTAAGTGCTCTTTATTATTTGATTTCTCATATGTTTGTGATTATACTTATATCTAACACCCCAATCGAAGATGAAAAAATGACTCCATAGCAAAAAGCATTACAATGATACAGTGCCTTGAGAATCATTGACTTAAGTTTGTTGATGAAAGATTATTTTACTGAAGATGAACAAAAAAAAATTGAAATGTTCAATAAATATCAATGAATCTAAAACCTCCAATAATAACTTCATTATGAATATTGAAAAAATAGATGCATTACTTTGTTTCCATCTTTCCTATTCAGCTAGTGTTCCATGCCACAATCCAAAAAAAGGAAACAAAATGATTGTAAAGGAAGTTGCAATCACTTTTATATGACGCAAAGATGGTATCAACCGTCATCAAAAGCTGCAACTGGTATCCTTACATTCATCCTATAGTTGGCTCAGTCTAAAGACCTCCAGCATAGTGGAAATTTGAAAATGTTACACTAATTTTTTATATTGTGCAACGTAGCTTTACAACACACGGCAAACATTCTGGCAATAAAAAGTAAGTGATAAACTGGTTTTGAATCGGATCTGAACTTGATCTCCAATTTAGAGAGGTGATAATTATATACTGGTGAAGTTTCAGGAGCAATGAGTTCTGTATGACATTTGGTGTAACAGCAAACTTCCACTATGTTTGTTTGGATCAGTCATCTTATAACATTCATTTTTGGATTATCCTTTAAACATATATGGATGTTTTATCATAGTAAGTGGAATTCCACCTGGTGGAAACATCCGATTCTAGTTTCAGGAGCAATGAGTTCTGTATGACATTTGGTGTAACAGCAAACTTCCACTATGTTTGTTTGGATCAGTCATCTTATAACATTCATTTTTGGATTATCCTTTAAACATATATGGATGTTTTATCATAGTAAGTGGAATTCCACCTGGTGGAAACATCCGATTCTAGATTAAGGTGATCTATCCTTTCTGTTGTGCTATTTTTTAATTGCACATGAAAAATAGGGAATTTAAAAAACTTATTTGAAGTGATGTTGAAACAATGCCATATCAACCTACATTGCACATATATTTATATATAGGGTCAATACCAATGTTTCACATTGGTTTTGAGAAGCATTAAAGGTAAGAGTTTAGAGTCTGATCCTTCGATTCATTCATATTAATTCAAACATTTTAAACCTTGTTTAGTCGTAAAATTTTCCCGTCATAAAAAAAATCGCTCGTGATTTGCTGTACGACACACCCAATAATTGATATAAACATTGACAATTTTTTTGTTATAAATTTTTTTTTTTTTTATTTTTTTATTATTTAAAAAATTTATTGGTTTTTTTTTATAAAAAAGGGAAAAGGGTTGGGGAGTGGGAGTGGGAAAGTGGGAAAGTGGGAGTGTGAAAGTGGGAAGGGAAAGTGGGAAGGGAAAATGATATAATAAGGGGAGGAAAGGAAGAAAAAATGAAATGAAAAAATGAAGAAAAAAAATTGATGATATTAAATAATATATATAAAAGGGGTGGGTGGTAATAATAATAAGATGAATAATATAATCAGTACATATAATAATATAAGCGTCAATTATTCTCTAAAGGATGGGTTAATTCAATAGTTATTAAACCCGTATTTTTTCCTTTTTGAAAACTTAATTTATTAAAATTTTTTATAAATTTTTATTAATAATTTAATAATTTTTATTAATAAATGAAATCAAAAAAATTATTATGAGCTCGCGCGCTTAACCACCTAAGAAATGCATAATAATTAATATAAGTTATTGTAATCGTTATTATTATTATTAATTTATATTAATATATATTAATACCTCTCTGGCCCATCGAGTCATTTCTCTTGTACCTGGAGGTAGGGATCTATTGTTTCTTCCCTCTTTCAATATTGCTGCGATATAATCATTTTGGAAATATTGTTTAATCTGACCATTTTGGAAGGTTTCTGCTAAATCTCTATTTTTTTTATTAGAGAATTAAATTATTTTAGAGATAAGAAATAGAACGCGGTTTATTATTCAAACAAACAAAAGGTATATACCCTATAAGTCCTATCATATTCCGAGTAATGGAATCGCTTCTTTCGCCATCACTCCAAGTCATTGTAATAAAATTAAATATTTGATCAATATATCGTAGAATTAAATCAGCTATATGACAAGAAAAATAAAATAAATAAATAAATAATTCGAATATTATAATAAATGAAAAATAAGAAAACCAACCTTTTTCGGCTTTTAATCCTTGTACGATACCAACATATGCCTCCAATATACATTCCCTCAATGTTATTACATAATCTATCATATCATAATTATTCTATATTAAAAAAAAAAACACGAATATAAAATTGAATAAACATTCGATGTTTATTCGTATTAAAATGCAATCTATTTTTTTCAATCAAATTGAGTTTACCATATCAGATGCTCTCATAGTACTAGCTTGTCCAAGGACCATCATTACCACTTCCAAATACACTTCGAATTTACTACCTATGGAAAGTGCAACATCGCCAAAACAAGACAAGATCACTGGTTTAACATTTCTATGTAAAGCTGGAGTCTATGAAAAATAAAAATAAATTATTATAATAATCACAAAAATTATAAATATATTGTTAAGCAGCAATTACTTGAAGATTTTGTAATAGAGCATTCATAAAGGTGTCACAATAAGGTAAGGCATCTTCCCCAAGAGCTCGACAAATATCACCAATAAGACCAACTGCGATTGAACAGACTTGAACATCTTCGTGATTTTGTAGAGCAGCACAAAGGTATGGAGTAAATACTTCCATATAACGTACAAACTCATTCTCAACGGCTAATCAATCAATCAACGAATCAATAGTTTTTGAAATAAAAGTAAGTTAGAATAAATATCTTTATAATATATACATATATATATTAATTAATTACCAAGAGTCACGGCACCAACAGCCAAGAAACCGTCCTCTATTGTTGTAGATTGTTTTGATGTAGTAGAAAACAATGATAATAAGGTTGACATGATTCTGTCGGCAAATGTACGAATTTCAGTTTTAAGTTTACGAAGTATGCTCTATAAACAACAAGTAATTAAAATTTTTTTAAAAATCATAATTCAATAAGAAACATAACATAAGACTAATTGTAATTAATTATAGCGTACTGTCAAAACACTACAAAGATTAGATTGAAGTTCTGAAAGTGCAAGTCGTTCATCCTGTCCTACAATCTGATTCTAAATTATAATAATGATAATAAATAATAAGGTGAAGAAAACATGAGCTCATTATTAATATATACATATACACACACACGTATTAAATATAATTAATTTATACCTGTGCTTGAAATGTTGCATCAAGACGATCAAGTGTGGTCACAGTTAATTTTTGAATTGTTGGGAAACAATCCTATACATAAATAGGAAAGCAATAAACAAAAGTAAATAAATTATCAACAAACAAATTTTTGCTATGATGATAATTACCGATGCAGCTCCTTGTACCAAAGTAGAAATACATTCATAAGCAGAAGTTCTTGCATTTGATTCATTGGTTTGTCTTTATTATTAATTAGCAAAAAAAATTTTTAATAAACATATTTCAATTGCAATAAATAATAATTGATTAATGAATTAAATACCTTTCAGTAGCTTCCATGAGAGCAGCTATAAGGCCTTCAAAGTAACTTGATAATTGATATGATGGCGGAGGTGTATCTTTACTTCCATATTGATCAGATAAACTCATTAATGCCTAATTAATGTATCATTATTATCGCCATATTGTCAGTACCATCATCATAATTATCATATTTTGTTAATAATAATGATTTTACCCAACAGCAGTTAGCAACAATACGTGAAGAATCATTTAAGCCGTGGACTAAAGAAGAAATAAGAGGATTGAGATGAATGTCAGGTTTAATACAATCAATCAACAGTTCAGAAACACGTCCAAGAGTCCAAGCTGTAGTATCTTTAACTTGAGGTGATGGATCACGCATCATTTCAATCAAAACAGGTAGTGCTTGGTTGACCAGAGTGGAAAGCATTTTATGATCAGGTCCCTCCAAAATAGAGCCGAATGCCATAACAGCTGCTTCACGATATCTCCATTCATTACTACGAATATTAGTTTCTACAAATGGAATCACCGGCGCAACAATAGAATCTTCAACACATTGAGCTAATAATGCTAAACAAGTTCCTGAAGCCATTGCAACACTCCAATCATCCTCATCAGCTTCTTCCTCCTAATTAATATAATATGAATTAATATTATTTATATTTTTTATTATAATAATAATAATAAATAAAAATAAATGAAATACTTGTTTGGTGAGAAGCCAAAGTAAAACTGGCAATATTTCTGGTAATGCTGCTTTTGCAAAATTATGACTCAAACGATCTAATGGTTCACCCGTTTCTTCTGCCTAGTTAATTAAAGTCAATTAATAATAATGTATAATATATAACATCATTATGATTATGATTAAATACCTCTATTGCTTCATTAGTTAATTCGATCTCTTCATCACAAACTGTTGACCAAAATTCTACAGCTTGCAAAGCAACTCTCTCATCATCATGCTTCATACCAAGAACAGTCAACTATTTTCAAGATAAATCTTATTATTAATGTAAATAATCTAAATCGTAATAATAAATCCAATTGCAAATATAATTAGATATACTGACACCAAATAATGCTTTTTCCATATAAAATCTCATTTTATCATAATATATCTGCATAATTCTAACTAAACATTCAAAAGCTGCAACCTGTACATTTACATCAGAACTTTGTGTTGCCTCACATACAACTTGCATAATATAATTACGTTCTCCCTAATGTCATAAATTAGATTGAAATATGTTAGAATACATTATCACGCAAAAAAAAGTTTGCAATTTTTGATTTTTCAATTAAGATAACACATATATAGCTGACCTCTCTTTCAAAATTCTCTCGGATAAATTCTAGCGAATTATAAAGGGCATTTATTGCAGCCTTACGAACATCTTGACTAAAAAAAATTTGGATTTCGAGGTTTTTTTATGAGAAAAATAATTAAAAAACATCTATAGAATTAAAAAATATGCATATTTACTTTGGCTCTTCTTTTCTTGCACCAGAAACAACAGCAGTAAGAATTGCACCAGATTGAGTAGCTAATATTTCAGGTTCCTGAATATAAATAATAATAATACATTTATATTTATAAATATATAAGCACACATAATATGCAAATTATTTGATTAACTTACAATCGTTTCACAAATAAAACCTATAGTAGCTAATGTTGACATTTTCAATTGAGTGTTGTCAGTATTGGTGACATATTCCAATAATTGCTTCATTAAATCTCCCCATTGCCCAACTGGCAGTTCAATAGTAGCAATAGCTGAAACCACCTAATGGTAAATATTTAAGCGATAGAGTGTAAATATAAGTAAATATTTTATAAAAATTACAAAAAATTTTTTTGATCAAATAATTTTAGTATTAATAATAACATACCTGTGCAGCAATATTACTATCGGTAAGGGTCAATGCTTGTAATGACTAATTATGATTTAAAATATACACACACTTAGAAAATTTTATATATAATAGTATATTCTCTCAAAATATATAATTTACCATCTGTTTAAATTGTATCCTTGTTTCTTCATCTATTGACAACCATCTTTGAGCTAATTCATTCTTTCTTACAGGATCCTTTTACAAGTTAAATTAAAATTTAACAATTATTTTTATTTTGATAATTTCAATAATTTCTAAAAAAAAATTAAAAATCGTTTCTACATACATTTGATACTAAAGAATTTTTTATAGCTAATCCAGCAGCTGGTTTAACTACAGAAGTTTCTTGTTCCTTAACAAGCTCTTGAAGGAGCATTGCAATATACGCCGGCTGATTTGACAAAATAATAATAGTAGTAGTAGTAAAGAGAAATTATATTTGTTTAATAATAAATCTTTTCTTCGCGAATTCATAAAGTGACGACGACGCGTTTATATTAAAATCGTAGTATAGTTATTAATTACATAGTTGGTTTGCTCTGCCTGTTGAAGTTGATTTTGAGCATCTTCACGAAGTTCTCGTTCTTTTTTTTTTTAATTCAAAATTTTTAATGAATTGTAATCAGTAATATATGTAACAATCGTAATAATTGTAACATAATTGTAGAAAAGAGAGTAAAAAAATATATTGTAATTAAAAAAAATTCAATTGAAATCAATTTAGAAATCCAATAAATTATAATATAAATTATACCAGCAGAGATAGTATTAGCAAGAAGGTCTGCGATTACGAGCATCTTTTAAGAGTAAAAAAAAAGCTTTTATTGCTTTTATCTTTTTTTTTTTATGATTTTTTTTTGTTACGACAACGTTTTTTACCTCATAAATTTATATACCCTGCCTAGTTGTTAAATATTACGTACCTGATATTTAGGAAAAATTGTTGCGGTAAATAATAATAGGAAAAATTTTTTCACATTTTTTTTTATATAGTTTTCATAAAATAATAATAATAGGATTATTTTTATTATTGTTATTGTAAATTTTTTACTTTTAAATACAGGAATAACATCACAGATAATAATATTTTAGCTGTTGATAGAAGGAAGAATAACAAAAAAAACCTCCAAATTATGGAAAGTAGTAGTAATTACGAAAGTCCCAGATCATCTAGAAGAATTAGTCAACCATATAATGACGAAGTAACGAACGATTACGATTATAATATTAGTAAACGTTATGAACAGAGATCAGGAGGTGGAGGAGGCGGAGGTGACGAAGGCTGGGGATCAGCAACATCTTATGCTAAAGATTTAGAATGGAACGACGAAAGGAAAAATAGTGATAAATCTTATTCATCTAGAGGAGGTGGTAGTGGCGGAGGAGGTCAAAAATGGACTTCTTACGAAGGTAATAGTAGAGATCGAGGAGCTCCATATTCAAAAGGTGGCGGCACTGCTGATAGATATGATGATAATAGGGCTTCGTATTCAAATGATCGTGGTGATAAATATTACGGGAGCGCTGGTGGTGGCAGTAGTGGTAATAGGTCTCACCGTGATAGTAAACAATATTATGAAAGGGATTATCCTGATAGCTATGAGTCTGGAGATCGTTATAATTATCCTCCTGTTGCTGCTGATAGTAATAAGAGGGCTGCTTATACTGATGGTCAAGATTGGGGTAGAAATGATAAATATGACACAAATAATAATAATAAAACATATCCAAAACATGATAGTAGATCACAATACCCAGAAAGTGATAATAGTAGAAGACATGAATATAGTAGTAGTAGTAGAGGACATTCTGATAGATCTTATCCACCAGAAAATGATTATGAGCAATATTATAATAGTAAATCTAGACATGAGGAATCTTCTTATTCAAGAGTTGATGATTGGGACAGAAAAACTTCTTATCCAAGAGGTGGCAATGATTTGAAAAGATCTGCAGCTACATATGATGAATACAAGAATTTGAATGTCCGTGCTAGCGGTGGTAGTGGATATAATGATGACAACCATGATAACAGAAAAAGAACTAGACCATATCCTGATGACTATAATAATAATAATAATAATAATAATAGGGGAGGAGGACCAAAGTATCCTCCTCCTAACAGAGGCTATAAAGGATCAGTGACCACCACTCCACCCAAGTCAAATGATAACAAGAGATTAAAAACTTACGATGGTAGACAATCTTTTAGTAGATATGATGAAGGATCAAAAGATTACGACAGACAGGCAGTAGGAAATGAATCATCGTCAGAATTTGCTGAAGAACCTTTGTGGGAAGAAGATAAATATGGAATAAAGTCTCATGCCCCTAGTAAAACTGAACCTGAGGACCCAAATGATCCCTGGGGAAAACCTGCATCATCATCAGATCCTAATCATTGGGATAATTTTTGGGATAATTCTTGGGGTCCAATGCCAAGTGATAATAATACAGAGGAAAATAGAAGGTCATCGACAAATAATGAGAGATTATAAAATAACAAAATAATAATAATAATAAATAATAATATTGGTTAAACACATTCAAAATATAGATTGGGTTACATTTATGATCACAAGAAAATTTAATGATATCTTTCAATTGATTGACCTTTCTTTAAAACATAATAATAACACAAATAAATTTATAAGCTTTTTCTTTGATGATGAACAAAAATTTAAGGTAAGTTCTGCAATTACTCCTTATTTTACGTTTATTTCTTTTTTTTTTTCCAATTTGGCAAAATTTTTTTTTAAAGTAGGAAAAGAAAATTATGAAAAATTAAATTTTTTATGAATTCCTTTTTTTTAAAAATTTTTCTTATTTGAGTTCCCAGCAAAAATTCTTAATATTTGTTATTATAATTTAGTATAAAATTTATATAAATATATACAAAAGAAAAAAAACAAATCTATGATTTTTTTTTCTTCCTTTCTTTTTATTATTTATTATTACTTTCTTGGATGAAAAAATCGGTATTGTTTTTTAAAGAAATTAAAATTGTGGCAATTATTACTTTTTAAAAAATAACAAATCAAGACCTTTCTTTAATTGATTAAATCTTTTTATTACTGCAAAATATTTCTATCGGAAGAAATTATTATGCCAATCAATTTAATTATAGCGAGATTATTTTGAAAGAACCGACATTTTTAAAATATAGTTTTCATAATTTTTATTTGGAGATCCACAAGAACATCCTCCTCACATTATAACCTAACTAAAGAAAAGCTATTTACAAATATACAGATCTCCAAAATAAATAAAAAAGATGTACATTATATAAATTTTTTAAATGAATTATTTATTTCAGAGATTTGTGATGGAGATCATCTCAAAAATGGGAATTCATTTACCTCGAGATTATTTTCCATTTTATTGATAACCACCCTCAAAAGAAAGAGTGCATAATGATGAGTCTACATGTCAAATTTGGTGAGGATAAGTTACACAAAAACATATAAATTGGGGCACTTTTTAATATAAGAATGACCATTTTTTTTAAAATTCTCTCTTACAACTTCCAATTTTTTCTTCTCTTATCTGTTTTGTTTGTCGACATTTGTTAAGGAAAAACAATTTCTTTTCACGTATTTCACCTATCACACTTAAAATGTATCTTGATGATGTATTAAATTTCTTACAATAAATATGAATCAATTCCTTACTACATTTGTCACGCGGTATCTAACATTTTCCGTTGCAATATCAATGTGTTAAAAGCAAGAAAATTTATTTTCTATTGAAGATCAATACCATTTTGCACTACGCCTTTGATGTAATAAATAACACTGAATGCCTTGAATTGATGTGAAAGTAATGAAGCGAAAAATAGTTTTTTGATGGTACGTAAAGATACTTATCGATATATAAATGAAAGCTACTAGTATAATTGTTTAATGTATCTCTTGTAATCTAAGCCCTGGCAGAGTTATAGTGACAGTGTATTTGATAGATAGACAATGTCTTTGTGTTATAATGGGTGTTCTATTTACTAAACCCATATAAAAATCATTCATACTGAATACTTGACGAACAACGGTGGCAAGATCATGCTTATTGCTTTTAAAATGTTCATATACTGTATTTAACTCAATCACAAGTATGATGATGAACAACACTCTATTAATTGATTGCTTTAAATTTGATATTGCTACTATCAATGTCATGACTTCTTTTCTATATTTAAAAAATATTCAGTGTGTTTAATACCATGAATTATCCAAGAAATAACTTCACTCAATACCTTTTACTTTCTTTTTTAACAATATTCTATGTTTTAGAATTTGCATTATCCCATCCCCATACAATTTTTTATGCTCTTTGTTACACACACACATATATGTCATAGACAGATGACGGACAAACTTAATTTTCAACTTTATATTCATGATGATATTTACAACGTTTTTATGGATTAATCAATTGATTTGTGGATTGTCTATTATGTTTGTCTACTAACAAGGCGATACATATATAAACTAAGCTATTGATCATTGGTAAGGGTTTTCAAAAATCGTATTGATATTATGAACTGTAAAATAATACCTTTATAAATCCGAATCTAAATGAGTCTTTGATAAAAATTTTCAATAATTAAGAGACTTATTTTCTTGGTAATCAGTTTTTTGGATCCAAACAAATAAATAAGTAAACAAGAAGTTGAAATAAGCAGGGATCTGTGCACCACCTAGAAAAAAAAGTTATCAAAAAAAACATTGTTTTTGTCTCGAGTTAATTGGATATGATTCCAATTATTCATTCAACTTTTTTTTTGTTTTTAGTAACGAATCAATAATTTAGAACCTCAATGACTTATCCTTCTTGTGAGTGTAGTTAATGTAGATACTGATGCATATGAATAGAAGCAGTATATGTAATGGCTACCGCCACCATCATTGTTAACGTAATGGATGCTTGCTATTATTAATACCATGATTACCATTATCATCAATAGTATTATCATCACCATCGCCATTATCATCACTATTATCATTATCACTAGCGAAAATCTTGGTTGATTATATAATGGGTTAACTGGAAGAAAGCACATGAAAGAAATTTAATATTGTAAAAAAATAAAACAATTTTTAATTGTCAACACATGAATCTTTCTCAAGGACAAATGTCCCATTGCTTGGATAATGTCGCAAATCTGAAAACATTTTCCCTATATAGTTGTTACTATAAAGTATCTTAAAGATCGTTTCATCACTATCATCATCTACCGCACCAAAAACAACTGCAACGGTAAGAAATAAAGCTCAAAGTAAAGGGAGAAAAATTACCAAAATATCTTCCGCCACCGCCACCACTAACGTGCGCAAGAGAAAAGGAAGGCAACCTTCCGAGACTTCTAACGATTTAAATAACGGCGGAAAAAGTAGCAAAAAACGCAAAGCAAACAATAGCGGAGCAACTGGCTCATCTCATAATTATGATTATGATGATGATGATGATGATGATGGTAAAGGTGAAGCAAATAGTATGGATGTAGATGAAAATAATGTTAAAACTGAAAAAAGTACTAATGTTGCTCAAGAAGCCAACGATTCAAGCGAACATCAGGCAGAATCATCTGCTCATGATCATTCTAGTCCAATCGAAAATCAAGAATCATCTACCGCTAGATCAAACAAATCATTAGAACACGAAAAACTTGAGAAAAAATTGCTACGCTTAAGACGTAGATTACAAAGATTGGTACTTAAGGATGAAGGGATTGAGCCTCAAGATGTTGAGAAAGTCAATGAAATATTCGAAGAAATCGAAAAATTCCCCGTTTCTGTTCCGATGTTGAGGGGCACTAAAGTGGGTAAATTAATGAGGGAGATTTCTAGAAAAAAATTTGATTATGATCCATCTAATATTGTTGGAAAAAGCACAGATTTAATCAGCCGATGGCAAACATTGTTAGAAGACAACAACTTTATCATTCAAATCGATAATGCACCATCACCAAAAGATGAAGCAAGCACCAGCACTCACACTAATCACGGCGACCAATCACCCATACAAACTTCCCAATTAGCCAAAGATACTAATGATATTACTACCACTACCATTGATACTATAAACGATGATGACGTTGCTAAAGATGATCACGACGTTGTTAAAAATGATGATGTTACTAAAGATGATAACAATGTTGCTAAAGGTGATGATGATGATAATAGCCGCGTGACATGTCATGAAAATTAACGGATAGTGTATTTTTTCGAAAAATTATAGTGGTCGGAATTTTTAGCATGCAGTAAATCGGTGTAATCTATAATACCAATTTTAGTAACGATTTTTATGTAATTTTGCACTTTTGTTGATTTGTTGGAAAAAAAAAAATAAAAAATCTATGTACAAAAAAGGATTTCGATGTTTCACGAATTTAATCGCGTGTATAAAAATATATAGACTGCAGCTGCAGTTAGTTGAATTTCGATTCTGGCAGTAATGGTTTTGTTTAACAGATTATTGCTGTAGGTGACTACACACTAACCTTCTTGTGCTTGGTTAAATGGTTTTACGATCCATGTGATCCATGTGAAATGAAATTAGCCAATCAAATCCACAGATTATTTTCACAATTAAATATAGTGCCGCCAATTTTGAGAAATCAAAAATGCAATAAAAATTTTACAGTCACATGATTTTTACATTTATTCCTATATATACATATGTAAATGATGATTAGAACAATAAACAACAACAATAATGATTATAGTGAT